ATGGTAACAAGAATATAATATTAAATTAAAAATTATTCATATACCTAAGTCTTTATTTAATAATAAAAATAGTAAAAATGGAAATAATATAACAACTAATAATACAAAGTACAACATAAGTCAGTACTTATGATTGAAAATTGAATACATAAAACATGCACAATTCAGTTATGTCAAAAGGAAAGATATAGTTTTTTTTTTTTATGAACACCTTAAACAGAAAAACTACTGCAATATAAATGTAAATAACTAAAATTGAATTAATTATCCAATTACTACTGGCAAACAATGTTGACTTGGTATTTTATTGTCAAGTACATTTCCAGACATTTAATTATGGATATTTTAGTTTTTAAAACTATGAAAGGTTTTAATTCATTAAATAAATAAACCCAGATTGCAGACACTATACAGACTACTTTATTGATTTTGTTTGACATATTATGTATATTTAATAATTATATAGAATATTATTCCTAATAATAATAATTATYATAGATATGACACTTTGGCCCTTTAAAATATTTTTTCTACGCCTGAAAACTAACAATATTGTCATTAAAAAAGTTTTAAATTTAATTAAAGTATTTCAAAAAAAATATAAGTATAAAATAAATTGTATTTAACTGGTAAAGTTACAAACCAAAAGAAACACCAAAACATTCAAAATATATCTTATAATATAATAATGAAGCCAATGAGAATATAATATAAACTCATCAATAATAGTTATCCAATGATTTGACAAAAGGTATATTGACTAATTAGGGTACATAAATATATGTGAATACTTTTAATTGGAATTTTTATGGAGTATATTGTATAAGTATCTTAAATTTATTTTAATAGTATGTTATATAATAGTATATAAATGTATGTATGTAAAAAAATTTCCACAATAAGTATGTATAACAAAAATATTAAAGTCAGGAACATAAAAGCACTTACAACTATTTGGTTACCATTTATTTTTTTTCTTCTAATACGAAAGAAAATTTTTCAATTTTCAAACAGATTATCATAGAATACAAATTTTAATTTTACAATGTTTTTACAATTAATTTTTAGGACATTTTATATCTACTAATTTTTTCACTTTGGTATAATTGTTTCAACTATTTACCATTTGGATTATAATATGACAACCCGAGAATAATTCTTTAACTCAATATACAAAGTGTATATATCAACTWAAATAAGAAATGCAATRTTTTTTTACACTATATATTCATCAAGACTGCCAAAAGAGTGGGGTAAATTATTACCGAATACTTAGTAGATATAAAATCTCCCCCAAAAAAAATGGTAAATATATATTTTATATGTGTATATATATTTGGTTACTTCAAGTAACTATATCGCCTTATTTTTTAAACAAATGATAAATACAAACAATCATTGCACATAATGGTTTCAAATTAACTTACTTTAAGCAAAGTTAGCATTTCTTTTATTACACATATATTCCAATATTAACACAGAGTACTTCTAACACAAAACTCTCCAAATCTAAATTTTTTTTATCAGTATTTATTTTCATTAACCAAAGTTATTAATTGAATTGAATAATAACATAAATACAAATCAGTATGTAAGAAAAGATATGTGAGCCCCACTTAATAATATTCAAGTAAAAACTGATATAATACTAAGTCTATAATTATCATTATTAAATTATTGGCACATAAACATTATCTTCAAATATTGTGTGCATTTAATTGTACATAAAATAATAAATTATAAATGTGTTATGAGTGTATATAATGGATAAATATATATGTTATAATTTACATTTTATAAATTAATAAAAACTAACATGTCCTTAACTAATTATAATATAAAAATGGTTTTGTGTCACAAATGCAGAAATAATAATAATATCACCTCGTCATAATAACAAATACTTACATTGTATATTTAAAGATACTAAAAAATGCRAATAAAATCAGCCAAATGGTTTTTATACCCATGAATCACCTCCTTGGGCGGTTGAAACATCAACAGATGATACTTTTGGTTGTGCTTGTTCATTGTAATTCCACATTTCACCCATTGAACACGACGGGTCATATTGTTTATTCTTCTTTTTCTCCCGATTAACTTGAGCATAAAGTGGCTCGCCAGGTCTTAACGGCTAAAAAAATGTATATTTTTTTTATAAAACACTAGTAACATTAAAAACTCAATGATATCTTTAACAAACATCAACTAGTATTTTGCATAGTTTAAGACTTAAGTTAAGCAAACATCTAAAAATAAATTCAAAATAGAAAATTTTTTTCACCCTAAAGCATTTAAATTAAAAAATATTAAGGAATAAACAATTCATTTCTATATTTAATGAACATTCTTTTTAGAAAAAAATATATACATGTAAGTGAATAATTTTACATAGACAATAAAACATAGTTGACAAAATTTCAAATTTTAATAATTATAAAAATTAATTAAATTTTAAAATACTAGTCTTTACTTGTATGAAGTATGTTCCATAAAAATTTATTTTCTTAATATAGTATTATACCTAATTCATTAAAACTTTAAAAATTACTTGAACAAAAATTGTTAACATAAAGTTTAAAATAAATAGGTTTAAAAATATTATGTACCAGAACATTTAATACATAAGATAGGAGTTCTTATCTCTTTAGTTTCTGTGCTAAACCATTAAAAATCAAATAAATATACCTAATTAAATACTTAAATCTTCAATGTTAAAACTTCATTTATTATTGATTTATTTAATATTAAAAATTTAAGAAATAAATAACGTAAATATAAAAGATAGTCATTTAACTATTCAGTTTACTAGAGGTTTATGATTTGAGTATTATTATTAAATTATGTATAATATAACTAAAATCAGAACCACCATAAATAATTTTGAAAATTGATTTTTTTAAATTATCTATACTTTTGAAATAGCCGAATATGAATATGACCGCAGTTAAAGATAATTATTAATTACTTAATACAGTTAAATCTTAAGTTTTGATTTTTATCAAATAACTTGATTGAAAATTTTGTTGTATTCCTTAATCTTTGTTCGAACACTTCTATTAATTAATATAATCAAATATACATAGTATAAATAATATGTGCAACATTAAGGTGAGTAAAATAAATGAATAATATAACTATATGGATGACTAGTAGTGTGACTTTGAATACTAAACAAAAATATGAAAACAATACTGAAGAATTACCAACACTCAATTTACTCACATGTCCAGGAGGATAAATTAATACTCCACCAGCAGGAGGGGTATGGTTAGACACTTCAGGATACGGCATATCAGCTAATGGAATATCTTCATTCTGAAAATATCAAGTACATGAATAAAATAAAGAACTAACCGAAATAATAAGACTTTTTTAATTCAAATATAATGAAATCTGTTTATTTAATAATATAACTAACATGTTAGTGTGTACATAATATATTGTAGATGAGAAAAGAATAAAATATAATTTATTAATTTTATATTTAAATGTGAATATTGTAAATGTTTTATGAGTTGAGGATTTTAATATTTTGGCCATGAACTTAATTACATCCCTCAAATAAATAAAATAGTGAAACGATGCTATAATTCTATTTGTTATCTCTCTCTAACACACTACATTTAAATTCTGCATATTATCTAATACTGTCATTAATTAAATTGCCCATTATCAAACATAAATCTTTGTTCAATATTTTTATTTTTAAGTAAATAATATTTTATTTTTRAATAATGCATTTTGTCTATATATGTCAAATTTTAAAGTTACAAATATATATTTATATTTTTAACTGATAAGAGCATAAAAATGTTATATTTTAGTTTCATAGGGTAAATTTAGTTAATGTTAAAAATAATAATGTTCTATTAAAAATGTAGAACATAATAATTAATAATATGTTAAGTAAAAGAAAACAAACAAATGCATGATTAGTGAAATACAAGCTTATTTGAAGTACAGCCTAATATTATAATTAGTTGAAACAATGGTTAAGAAATAAAACTGCATAACATTATCAATAGTATAAAAAGTAACATGAAATTTGTTTTTTATTATTATTAGATTTCCTAAAAACAATTTGTCTCGACAATTAATAAATTTATAAGATTAAAATAAATAATACTTATTAAAATTACAGCAAAATAACATATTTTTTACAATTAGTTGTCTTACATTTTTAGTTATTAACATTAAACGTCTTAGCATAAAAAATGTGAACTGAAATTTACAATATTCACTAGATAATATAATTTATTTATTATTAATTATTATTTAATGTTATACATAATATATAATCACAAATTATATAAAACTAAATGGTACAMTCCCTATTTAAATCAGATAATTTTCCAAARTGAAAACAAATCAAACCCTGCCTTCAAATCAGCATAACCACTAATAACAATAATAAAGTTTTTTTGTAAAATTATTGATTAATTACCAAATTTCACTGATATTTAGCACTCACGCCTAACCATAGACATATTATTTGAATACATTTAGTCATATTTTTTGTACATAGGGTATGCAGGGGAAGGGGTGGCTAACAGACTTAAGTCCTTTTTATGCTTATATTATTATATAATTACTTTTATTTTAAAATATTTATAATATTTTTTGTAAACTGGTAAGCAAGGACATAAACTTAGATGTATCATATCGGATTAGCTAAAGCCAATAAATAGTAATATTTATACCTAGATAGTTTGAATTCATTTTTGAAAAAAACATTACATTTGCATGCCGATTTTCCTAAAATAATCAGTATTTTTTTAGTTAAAGTACTAACTATTAACTACTAATATAAAAGACCAAGTATTACATTTCACTTGTGCTGGTGTATCATTAATATTTTAATAGCTATAAAAAATGTTATGTTGAACCTAACCTTGTATTACTTTAGTTAACTATTTCACAAAACAAATAATTTTTAACTRACATATTTAAGGAAAAAAATCTAAAACTTATCATATACCGTCCAAGATAATAGACAGTAGAACCAAGGTTACTAAATTATTTTAACAAATTTACATTGATTTGCTTTTGTTTTTCTGATTAATTAAAAAGTACTAAACATTTTCAATTCTGATCTTTCAAAATCACTAGATCCAATTTACTTTCTAAAACCTTCTTCAAAGTTTATGATCAAAGCATTTGACCAACTAAAAAAGTTTATAAATTGAAGTTGTACAAATAATTTCAAATGCCTCACCTAAACAACTGACATTAATAAAATGGACAAAATAAAACTTAAATTATAATTAATTTTTAAGCCCCTTTCATTGAAAAATCCTGTGTATACAACTGGATACAATAATTGTAGTAAGTATTGTACCATAATTTATTCCACATTTATATACAATTCTACTGCATTGGGGTAAGTTTGAGTTATAAGTAAATGCAGGAATGCACCTCCTAGTTTTATATAATCTGTGATAAAATGGTAAATTAAATTAAATTAAATTAACGCACACAATTATATGAAATCATCATAACATTTGTGTACGAGTAAGATCATCATCAAAAACCATTATATTTTAAGTATAATTTTTTAACGCAAAATTATTTATTATTAAAATCATAAAAAAAATAACTATGGTTAAAATCACCTTTTTCTAGTAATTATAAAATATACAATTCTTTTAAATTTAAGGAGTAAAATTTAAAATATACTAAAAAACAAAGAATTATTATTTAAAAAAAATATTAAGGTCATCCACAATTTGTGTCACAACAGTTGCTAGATCACATAGATTGTTAATTCTCAMCAGTCTTAAAACTAACAATTTGGATGACTATATTAACAATGTTTTTCATCTTTTAACTTACAGCCTGATAAGTAGAATTTGTATTAGAGTTTGATAGTGAATGATTCATCTGTGAAACATTTGGATTTTGTCTTTGTATCGTCCGATCTTCGTACCGAGTCCCCCCTTGACTTGCCATAGGGCGATTAAGTGTACTGTTTGCATTATTTGGTGAGTTCACTCCACCCGCTGCATTTCTAGCTGCAATAGTCTTAGTAACAAAGTCTTGTTCTCTCCAACCGTGCTTTTTGTATGCATCTCTCAACTCTTGATGCTGCCACATAGCAAACAAAACTTGGCTGGCAAATTTCAAGACTCTAGATGTATATTTCTGACGCTGTCTAATTATATTCATTAATCTTTCTACTCCACTTGAATCCAGTAATGACCTACACAAATAAACATTAATATATAAGTGTATAATTTTAAAACCAATAATGTATTTTTTAAATATGACTCATAACACAAGTTTATAAATATTTAATACCATACAACACCTTATGAATGTGGTTATACAACACAAGTCAAAATATTAAATTCTTCTACACAACAATAAATACCTAGCAAATTCAGCATTTTTCTTAATGACTTCATTCAGTGTAGCCAACACTGCTGCTATAGTATCATCAGAAGTTCCTTGATCGTGTTGAGCATTTCCTGATGGTAACTTTTGCACTAAGTCTCTCATTGCATACTTTCCTGCATATAGWATTTCAACATTTTTATTTAGAAATATAATAATAATTTAAAACAATTATAACAAACCAATTAGTTCTTTATTTCTTTGATCAATAGCCAAATTCCTTAAAGCTGTAGCAACAGCACATACTACACGATCAACTTCCATTCGTAAGAGTTCTACAAGAATAGGGAGACCTTTTTCTTTCCGGACAGCAGCTCTAATTTCAATACTAGGTTGCCAATAACAAGCAGCTAAATTTTGGATTGCACCTGCAGCAGCTTCAAGAGTTTCTGGATTTGAACAACTCTGTAGCAGCGCTAGGTATGATTGAACCACCTAAAATAAGTATTGAGAATGATTAAATTTTAAACTAAGTGACAATCTCAAATTCATACTTCTGGTTGCCACAAAAGTTCCATTCCTTTAGCTGGTTCTGATCTAGGAATTATACGACTACTAGGGTTTTCTTTGGGTGAAACCACTTGGATATCTTTTTTCTTTTTACTAGCTCCAAAACAACCTAAGTTTTCTGCTGAAACAGAAAATGAAACATTTATATATTTTTTTCAAAATATCTTTATTACAAAACATAAATAAAATAATAATAATACTAAAATGTTTACAAAAAAATACTTGGTGGTAGAGAGTTATAATACATAATAAGATAAAATACATCTAGTACATAATAATTAATAAAACTTAATTTAAATAGAAAAGTATGATGTATGAGATATCCGATAAACATTTTTTTTAACTAACCTTTTGGCTGAGGACCAATTCTACTTTGAGTTGGTAAAGGATGTTTATCATAATTTGGATCTTCAACTTCTTGACACCTATATGATAAATTTCTTAGTATGCAAACACAATTTTCAACACTCTTATTTCCAATATTTGACTTTTCAATAGCAGTTGAAATTACATAAAGAAGTGAATCAATTAAATATTCACATTCACGTAACTTTTTCCGTGCATATTCACCAGCTGAACTTATATTCCTAAATTACATAAATTGATAATTAATACAATTTAAAATATTTAGAATCGATTTATACCTTAATACTCCAGAAGTATTTCTAAATACAGTAGACCAACAAATATCGCTACAAGCAGTAGGGCTCCACCCTGAATGAGGTAGTAAAATATGATTCACAATAGTAGAAAGACCATCATCAATAATTGATTTTTTCAAATCCTTTAATAATGAATAAATATGAAATAAGTTTAAAAACCTAAATAGTTTTTTTAATTAATACTTCGCATGATGATAAGTTCCATAARACTCCAGTAACGAGTTCTTTAACTTCTGCATCAGCTGATTTATGCAGTAAATTAATTAGTAATGGTATTCCACCGGCATCTTTAATGGCTCGTTTGTTTTCATCATTTTGTCTTCCATATGATAAATTTCTAATAAAAAGAATAATTGTACTGAAATTTCTWTATAAACAAAATATATGAAGAGATATATACCTAAGGGCTCCACATGCATTTCTGTAAACATCTGGACAATCATGGTTTAAGAGCTTTGCCAAAGCCTGTATTCCTCCTAACGTCCTAGTTTTTTGTTTATTTGGATCATCCATATAACATAAATGTTGTAAATAAGCAGCAGCATTTGCTTTAATTAAATTATTTGGGTTAGCCAAKAATGTTATAACTTCAGGCAAATTAGGATCCCTCCATCTAAGACCTAAAATAAAAATTTAAAAATATAAAAATCCGTTACTATAGTCTATAGTGACACTTAAACAAAAACATACCTTGTGCCATTTGATCTCCACATTCATCCATATTCCATGATCCGCTCATTTGATCTAAACAAATAAAAGTTTAAGAAATATTTTTGTTTAAAACATACATAACATTATGAAATTACACAAAATAAGAAATAAGAACTAACCRTAACAATCACCAGGTGACGGTGTAATTCGGTGATAATGGTCATGATTAGGATGCAATTGAGTTGCATCAAGTTCTTCATAACCAGAAGGTGGATATGGTAATCCTTTTCTCATGTATTCTAAAAATAGGTTTTTTTTCATAAGAACAAATCATGTTACATTTATTTGTTCTAAATATTGATATTTTTAAAATATGCACACATAAAAATATAATTACCTTGAGCCAAGAGCTGTTGTGGTGGAGGAGATTCACTGCAAGCACTAGGACTTGGTGGTGTGGGTATCGTTTCATTATATTCATGCCCCAGTTGATTAGGGGATGATCCTGTGTCGTATACATGGTATGCATTTCCATCTATTTTAGCCCCTTGTTGGCCAGGTATATTGTTGGAACTGTAATACGAAAGTCCAGGATGTACGCCAACATAATGGTCATAATCCTGACAACCTGGATTGTAATTCTGGTAGTCATTATTATAATGTCCTAAACAAAAACATATACATAAATAAATATTAATAGAACTATATAACCATTTAAGTTTAGGATTGTTAACAAGCAAGAAATCTATTGATTTCACAATAATGTATTTTTAGTTATGTATGTGATCAACTTGAAAATATGAAATATGAAGCCAATTAATTTTAATAAATGTTGATAAGCATATGATCAAACTTTTTTTTGTATTTCAAGATTTTTTTAGCAATATCTTTATTTTTAACGATTAAAAACTATAACCATAGTTTATTTTTATGATCAATTCTAAAAAATCTCAAAAATAATATTCATTTTTTTCCTTGGGATTGTTTAAGTTAGAAAAACATTCTATAAGCGTAAGTTAACTRAACTACTTAAAATAACTTTTATTAATTGGATAATATTAGTTCACTATAATTCACTTTTATATAATTTAAGTTTAACCATTAAATTGTATACAAACCAGATTCTGACATATGAGCTGGATTATTTGGTTGAGTTGATGAAGTTGATGAAGATGAMACTCCTAATGTGTATGGGATGTAATCTAATGAATGACCATTAGGAATCATATGATGAACTTCTCGAACAACTTTTGTCACAGTTGTAACCTAACATAAAGATAATATTTTAGAATTTCGCACAAAAATTCAAATACATTTAAAATACAAGTTATATTCCATCAAAAACATAAAATAATATTTACTTGTTGTGTTGTTTGGTGTTTCTTTGTTTGGGATACTAATACAGGTTTTTCACTACATTGAGCAGATGAATTAGATGAATGATTTTCTTGAAGGCCGTTGTTTGAAAAAGCGATATCATTTGGATATGAATTACTTTGAGAGAGGTCTGACTGAGCTCTATAAAAATAATTTGAAATTTTTAGATACCTCTATGTTTTACAATGACCTATTAAATTTTAATGATGATTATTATTAATGTTTTAATGATAAAATAAAATTCATGGCTATCAAATGTATGCAATTAAATAGTTTAATTTTTCTTGCTACATTGAAGAAAATTAGTTCAGTTTGTTACAAATTACTAGAACATAATAAATTACATAAATTCTTCAAAGTTGGTTTAATTTTWTATAGAAAAGATGTAATGCTGTAAAATCACACTATATCCCTCTATGTTGTAATATCAAAAAAAAAGTTAAATGTTTTAAATCTGGAAATTATGATTAGGTTTATTTTTGGCTGTAGCTAATAGTTATACTATTYTTTTGTGAAGCAAAATATTTTTGGATTGATGTTTTCAATAACACTTGTTTGTTTTAATTTAATAAAATAACTGATGAATTGTTATTAAACACATATCAATCAAACATCTTAAGATAATTAAGTTTAAAAGAATAATAGTAGCCATCAATTTAACAATTTTGACACTTTGATTTATTAAAAATATATTTTTATMATTAATCATTGYTTTTACTAATTTTGATTTTAAAAAATTGTGTAACGATTAGTAACCTTTTTAATACATTTTGGCCATATTTAATGTAAAATTCCATGCATATCAATTACATGACAATTTTTAAATATGTTCCAACAAAAATATATGACCATATTATTATTATACATAGATTTACTTAAGATATTGTACTAACTAAAAGTCTACAAATAATATAGTAAATAATAAAAACTATATAAACTAAAAACAAAGATGAAATTTAACTCAAATTACACTTTATTAATATTAAATAAGGGAATACAAATTGGAATAAAATCACACAGCTCTGCATAAAAAAACTAAATAAGTAAGAAAATAAAAATGTTTTTAACTTAAATTTTAGGGTCTATAATACAAATTATACTGCCTTTTGGACCACATTGATAACTAACTTGAATTAAATTATAATATTAACCCCTACGTTTAAACAAACTCTACATTGCATACATTATTTACTATATAGTTATCAAAAATCAATAGCAAATAAGAGAACTTAATATTAAATTCAGGCTAAATAAATAATATACTCAAAAATGACTAGTCCCTATTTGGCTCCTAAATAGTTTATTTAATAATATATATTCATAAAAATAGTTATTGATCATTGATGTTTATATAGTGTAACTACTTAATTGTACAGAATTAACTCACAAATAAGATAAATTTATATTATAGAAATATAAAACAATTAAAAAATATATCATTAAAATGTATTTATGGAGTGGACATCCACATGTGTTATCTCTCTCTTGCAAATATACAACATAGTACATTTTGATTTAGTTGAATCACAATTTTAGCTATTAGGGAAAATTAACTTCAAATTTTAAGGTCATTATATTATACTCATTTTTGATTTTTTTTTACAAGATTTTAATTTCTAAGAAAGTTATGAGGATTTTAAAATAGTATTTTACGTACTCATAACTCTCTTTAATATCATATAAAAAAGATAATTTTCTCATTGATTATGAGCAAATTTTCTATAATATTAAGAATAACAGCTACATTTTTATATATTTTATTTTATTTTYAAATTTATCATTCAATTGAGTACACTTGTTTTAATTTGATACATGGCTGTAAGTTTGATTCTATTTTTAATATTGTGATTATTCGGTGAATTTTAAGCCATTCTAAAATAATAACAGAAATACAAAAATTTAATTCAATAGACACATGCAAAATTACCCGCTATTTTACAGAAGGATTTTTGATAAACAAAATAATCACACAGATAAAGGAAAAAGTGACTTATGTAAAAGAAAAAGTATAAGTAAAAATAAATTTGAAGATATATATTCAGAAAGATATAAGAAGATGATATCAAAAAAAAATTATCAAATATGACACAAATAAACAGTGCTGAAAAAATTTTAAAAATATGTACGTCAGATTAAAAAAATATATAAAAATAGAGGGAATATAAAGAATAAATACAATTAGTTGTCGAATCAATTTTAAATTGTTTTTAGTTTCATCATAAGGTATTTTACAATGTATAATAAAAAATAAAATCAATTATTTGTTGTACATCTACGTGAATGATAATTAAAATTCATATTTCTCTAAAATTTTAACAAAAATATAAGATAAAAAGTACGATGATGATATTATATTAATTTTATGTATTAAACTATATTTATTCCTCTCTAAATTATAGTATTATTCTCTTATATTGTTTATGTGACAACATACAATTATTTGYATATTATTATTTACTATTTAATAAAAGGTTAAAAATGAAGGTTAATCACATGGATACATAAGGTAGTTTAATGTATTCAATACTTTTATACAATAACACATTCATAATTGAATAATAATCACCCAGGCGTTATTATTATAATATAAAAACTAAAACACCAGTGAAATTTCAACGCCGCAATAATTGTGGAAGGGGGAGCCCTGATAACAACAAATTCGGACGCCGGTATCTTGTGGTGGAAAATTTGTTCACTTGTGAATTATTAAAATTGAAATTATTTGGTACTTGTTTGTTATCGCCCCGCCAATACACCGAATAAAATTTATTGCCCCGCCACTCTTGTTTGTTATCGCCCCTCCAGTACATCRCATACAATTTATCGCTATTGCTAATCGTTTGTGATATATTTTAGAAAATGAGAAAACTAAATTTTATCATTTTTATGATAATTTTCGATT